TGGTCGGTCTGGCGAACGACGGGGCGGGCATGTCGGCGACCGAGATGGTGCGCGTGCTGGGGACCTGCCTGAAGGGCTCGCGGCAGCGGGCGTACAAGGTCGAGCTGAAGCAGGCGCGCCGGTCAGGCAGGCTGGCGGCGGATCCCGACGAGGTGTACCAGAGCCTGAAGGAGCGGCTGATGGAGTTCAAGGAGGGCTTGCTGGAGAAGCAGCAGCGGCTCAACGCTGAGTGGAGGACGCTCTCACGCGGCAAGATGAGCGCGCTGGAGTTTCAGGCGACGTTCGAGAACATCGTGGCGGAGATGGAGCTGGCTGGGATGAGCAAGTCCGATCGCGACCTGCTGCTCGGCTACCTGGCGCTCATCCCCCCCGCGCACCGTGCAGAGGTGCTCAAGGATCGCCGGGTGTATCAGCGCTCTGGCGCTCAGCCCGAGGTCCGCGGCGTCGAGACCTGGAGGGAGGCCCATCGCGTGCTGCTGAAGCTGGAGGAGGCCGAGAGCTCGGCCAAGGCGCTCGTCGCGGCGGTGGGCTCGGACTTTGCGCCTAGCCCGGGCGGCGGCGGTGGCCGGCGTCGGCGCGGAGGCGGTGGCGGCGATCAGGAGCCGCCCGAGGTCGGCGCTGTTGGCGGCTCCGGCGGCGCCAGCGCTGAGGGTGCTGTGAAGGTCTGCTACCAGATGAGGGACAGCGGCACGTGCGCGCGTGGTGACGCCTGCAGGTTCTCGCACGACCGGGCTGCTATCGCCGAGGCGCGGAGGACCAAGAAGGACGCGACCGGGCCGAAGGGCAAGGGCGCGGACGGCAAGAAGGGCAAGGGCTCGGACGACGGCGGCAAGGGCGGCCTCAAGTCGCAGCTCTGCCTGCAGTTCCTCCGGGGTGCGTACAGCAAAAGCGAGAAGGACTGCAAGTTCAGCCACTCGGGTAAGGCAGCTCAGAAGGTCATTGCAGCAGTCTATGCTGGCGCGGCCGCAGCTAAGGCGCCGCCGCCGAGCCTCGGCAGCGCGGGCTCCCCCGGCAGCGGCCAGGGAGCGGCGCCCGCGGCCGAGGAGGCGGCGCGGCCCGCAGCCTCTGGCGCGGCGCCGAAGGTGCAAGCTGCGGCGGGTGGCAAGCTCGAATGGGTGCGACCCTGTGGCGGCGTCTTCGGCCCGAGCTACGACCTCCCGCAGGTGAGCGTCGTCAGGGGTTCGCCTTCGCCCGAAAGAGCTCTGAAGGACCTGGGCCAGATCCCCGCCAGCGCCTGGACGCAGGTGCAGGAGCCCGACGACGGGTACCACTACTTGTGCCACACGCACGTCTACGGCCTCAGCATCAGGACGCCCCTTGATGGCGGGGCTGTGTTCTCCTTGACGTGGGAGGCGACGATCGTTAGCATCATCAACAGCGCGATCGCGGAGGGCAAGTCTCCTGAGGACCCCGACTGGCCGATCGCGGGCCTGATGCTTTGGGGCCGAGATTCGAAGGCCTCGTCGGTGGCGGACAAGGGCGACCTGAAGATTCGTGGCATGGTGGACCTGCGCCTGGCCTTCGAGGGGCTGGATGGTACGCGAGTGGTGCGTGTGTTTCGCCTTCGGCTTCTGCGCGGGGGTTGGGACAGGCCGTTTCTCATCATTCTTGGGGCCCCAGCGCTCGATGCACCCCCCCTGGGGATCGGGCACCGGCCTACGCTGCAGGGCCACTACCTGCCGGGGCTGGGCATCACGGTCAAGCGCGCGGAGGCCGACGCGGTGCAAGCGAAGCTGTTGACCATCGCGGCGGTGTTCTCGGAGTGCGACGCCGATTGGCGTCGAGGTGAGGATCGTCGGGCGGCCAGCGCTGTAGGATCCCTGGTGTGGTCCGGCGCGGCCTGCCCGAGCTACCCCATCTGCATGGTCGGCGGCCAGTGCCCCGCGGAGTTCGGCGGCGGCGACACAGGCGTGATCGTTCTCGACGACTCGGAGTCCGCCGTCCCCATCTACCTGAGCGGCGAGGAGGGCGTGCGGCTGGAGCTCGGCGATTGCGCTCTGGTGCCAGCTCGCGCTAGCGGCTTCGCAGCGGGCATCGTCGGCGACGTGGTGGCGAATGGCGCGGCGGCTGTCTGGGCCGCCCCCGGCCCTTGGCTCGGCCGGGAGCAGCTCGTCCTGGTCGGCAACTGGGACCAGCCCGGCGTCAGCATCGAGGTCGGCGACATCGTGGGCGCCGTGATTCAGACCGATGGCGAGCCGGCCGGCGACGACCCGTCGGTGGCGCACGTGTGGCAGGATTGGGACGAGTTTCGGGACATCGTTGAGCTGGAGGTGCCGACGGACGAGTACTACGCCGAGCGTCTGGTCTACTGGCAGCGGAAGTACCCGAAGGCGGCCACCACCCTCCTCGAGCATCTCTTGGCGGTCGAAGGTTTGCTGGACGTGTGCATCGCGGCCGGGTACTCCATGGGTGCCGAGAAGTCCCTCGACAGGCTGGCGCAGCCCTCCATCGAGGCGCTCGGCGAGATCGTGGGCCGCGAGGGCAGCGAGGCGTGCGAGCGGCATCTGGAGCTCATTAAGAACTGGTCGGTGCTCGAGGACGTGGCTGCGCTGCGGCGGTTCCTTGGCACGTTCAACTGGATCCGCGGCCACTTCCCCAAGGAGGTGCAGAAGCCGCTAGGGATCCTCACGCAGCAGCTCAAGAAGGACGCCGAGTGGCCGATGACCCCCGAGAAGGTTGCGGCCCAGCGCGCCATTCAGCAGCTCGCGTGCGAGGCCATCCGCCTCGCGGTGATCGATATGGTCGGGGCGATCTCTAGGGACCGCCCGCTCGAGCAGGTCGCGGACTTTTGCCCCTACGGTTGGGGTGGCAGCGTGTATCAGCTGGCCGCCGACCGCCGCACGCTCAACGTGCTGGCGATGTACGGCGGCTGCCTCAGCTTGGCGCAGAGCAATTGGCACCCCCGCCGGGGTGAGCTGTATGCGCAGCGTGAGACCAGGCGGGAGGCACGTAAGGACTTCGGTCGGCTGCCCGCCCTGTGCTGGACGGACCACGCGGCAGCGGTGAAGGACGGTACGGGTGAGGCCGAGACGGACTCCACCGTCATCCGCTGGGTTGGCGAGATCGAGAGCGACGGCAGCAGGCTGATGAATCTCTCTGGGCGGAGCGCGGCCCTGGGTGATGGGCCCTCCCGAGAGAACGAGGCCCACGGCAAGATCCTGCGCGAGCAGGCTCACTCCCTGACGAACATCACGATCGAGGACATCATCGGCGATGACTACCGTCCAGGGGAGGGGGTTCCTTGGGGCCTGGACGAGACCCCCGACGCGGCCGCCTTGCAGCTGGTGGCCGTGGCCGGGGCGGAGCGCGAGAAGGGCGACTCCATCGCGCTGCACCTGCCGGACTACGGATGCGAGAGGCGGCGGAGCGCAGAGCAGGCGCGGGCAGCTCGACAGCTGCAGCTGGCGGCGCCGGGCCTGCGGCTTCGCATGATCCCGCGCGACCCCCCGCTGGCGGACGGCGCCGGCGGCCTGTACTACATCGCGCCTCCTCGCTTCCCAGGTGATGCGAGTAGCAAGGCGCGGAAGCAGCTTCGCAATGACGTGCTGACCGCGGTGGCCGCCGTCTTGCGAGAGAGTGCCGCGCGGTGGCCCAAGGTCGTGATCGGGACGGGCCACGGCGGGCTGGTGGCGGCTGCAGCGGCCCACCCCAGAGTGGTGGAGGCCGCTCTCGCGCTGCGGTACGCGAGAGAGGCGGAGGGCATGTAGGTCGCAGAGGCGTGGGTGAACGTCAGGGCGTTCGTGGCGATCGGGCCGCGCGCCCACAGCCCGAGCAGGATTGGCTTCGTGCGAGAGGCGTTTCCTGAGTTCGGAGCGGCCGCCCACGGCGACGAGCGCCCGGCCCCCCTCTATTTGGTGGAGGGTGCCGGGGCGCACCGCCGTTTCGGGCAGGACCTCGGCGAGGCGCTGGGCGTGAAGGTGGCGGCCACGCTGGGCGAGGTCCTCATGCAGGAAGTGGTCTCTGCCCCCCCGCGGCTGCTGGAGTTCAGCGGCGGCCGCTGCGCGTGCGGGCGGAGTTCGCTGGTGCTGGCGCGGCGCGGCCAGTGCATCAGGGCCGACCGCGAGCTCGAGGAGGAGGCGCGGCTGGCTGAGGCGCCGGAGGATGCGTTCGGGGAGCCCGACGCGGTCGACGTGGCGGCCTCGGCGGCGCGCATGCGCGCGGTCCGCCCGCAGCCGGCAGTTGCTGTCGGGCCTGGCCCCTGCATCGCCGTGTCGGCGGAGCTCGCGCGGGACCTCCTGGAGTTCGGCGGGGGCCGAGCGGATTTCACGTGCAACTGCATCCGGGTCCGCCGAGCGCCGGCTGCAGGCGTCGTGGCCTTGGAGGCCGCTCGGGGTTATTCCTATCGGCTGTCGTGCTTCGTCGTGCCGCAGGGGCCCGAGCCGGGCGTGGAGGTGGCGCTGGCGCAGCCGTGCGTGGAGTTCGGGCTGGAGCTCGTCACGGAGATCGACGTGGAGCTGCTGCAGGCGGGCTTGCCGACGGGCGCCGAGCTGGTCCAGCTATTCGCCTGCGCCTGGCTGCTGTGGGAGGGCGGCGCGCGCCTCCCCGCGCTGGGCGCCACTCACGTGCATCGGCACTGCAGGGGGTCGGCCGTCAGCAACGGTGCGATCATCAAGGTGTCCTCCTACTCCTCCGCCTACTCCGAGGTCTTCGCGGGCGCCCTGGGGCTATCATGGTACCGGGCCCTCCGCGATCGCTTCGGCGGGCGGGCTTCAGGAGCCTTCGTCGAGTTCGCGGACTCCGACTTCGCGCGCGGCGAGCGGGAGGCCTTCGAGGTGCCGGACGTCCTCGGGGCGATCACCAGCATGCGGGCACCGGCGTCTGAGCAGGCATGCTCCGTCGGGCGCGTGGCATGCGCCCCGGAGCGCGGCACTGCAGCCTTCGACGCGGAGGTGTCGGACGGGCGTAAGCTGGAGGACGCCGACATCGCCATCAGGGAGGAGTACGCCGCGAAGGTGCGGGGCTGCGAGCCTGAGGCGGGGAGCGAGCCGTTCGAGCTGTCCAAGTCGCTTCGTGCCCACATCATCGGAGACCAGTGGAAGGACGAGGAGCTCGGGCCCATCTGCATGCAGCTTCGCGCCGAGTCTGGCGCCGGCGACAGCCCCGAGGCGCAGCGTCTCGGTGAAGACTTCGCGCTCGAGCAGTTCGTGACGGTGGGCCCAGGGGAGCAGCGCTGGCTGCTAGTCCTCCCTGCGTCTGGCGGACCGGGCTCGGGTATATCGTGGAGGCGCTTCATCTTCCTCCACGTTCACGCTGGTCCGTCGGGGGGCCACAAGACGGCGGTCGCCACTCGTGAGTGCGCCCGGCGACTGGTGGTTTGGCCGGGGCTCGCGGCGGACATCGAGAAGTGGTGCGCTAGCTGCTGGGCCTGCCTCCGATTCAGGAAGCAGACTACGAAGGTTCAGGCCAGCTTCATCGTGGCACGGCACCGGCTTCCATTTCATCATGTGGTCATCGACGTGGAGGGCCGCATCACCCCCCCGACGTCGACGGGCACGCGTACGTGCTGACCTACATATGTGTGACGACGGGGGCCCCCCTTCTCGAGCCGCTCAAGCACCTGCAGCACTCCGAGGTTCGGCGCGCCTTCTTTCGATGCGCGACTCGTGCCAAGACCTGGCCGATGCTGGTGAGTTCGGATCGTGGCAAGGAGTTCTGCAACGCTCTCATGGAAGAGCTCTGGGCGCTCCTCAACTTCGCAGGCCGCTTCGGCACGTCGTGGAGGCCCTGCGAGCAGGCGGACGCGGAGCGGTCCCACATCGAGTGCGCGAGGGAGATCGGCATCTTCCTGCACGACGTTTTTAAGTGTGCCCCCGGCCAGTGGGCCGAGCTGCTGCCGATCGTCGAGTTCGCGTTGTGGAACTCGCCCGTCAAGTCGGCGCTGTCGCCGAGGGACCTCTGCATGGGTTGGTCGTTGGCGTCGCCGCTGGAGAGGGAGCTGCTGCCGCTGGAGCCCGCCGTGCGCGAGGCAGTCTCCGACGTCGCGGCAGCACAGTTCGAGCAGTTCAGGCGTTTGCGGGAGGTTTACCTTCAGCATCGGGCTCGAGCCGGCCGGCGCAGAGCGGAGCTGGCTAATCGCACGAGATCGTCGAGGCGCCCGGAGGTCGGGGACATGGTATTGTTCAAGGACCCGAAGCTCTCCAAGGCCGTGGCCGGGCACGCTCCGGGCCGCCGCCCTCTGCGCGGCCCCTTCGAGGTCCTCTCCACGAAGGGCAACGTCGCCACGTTGCGGGACCCCGAGACCCGGCAGGTGCTCAAGGACATCCACGGCGATTTCTTGGTCGGCGTCCCGGGCTTGGTTGACGACACGGAGCGCATCGTGAAGTTGGAGGAGGACGACGTCCGTGGCAGGGCCTCTGCCGGACAGCTTCTGGCAGCGCGGCTGGCCCCTGGAGGCGGCGAGGCCGCCGAGGCGCTGGCGCCGCGCGTGAAGGCGCGGATGCGAGAGGTGAAGGTCGGGCGGCTCGTGGCCTACCAGGGCGAGGAGGCGAAGCGCTGTCGGGTGGGCAAGGTGCTGAGCCTGGCCGAGGACCTGAGCAGCGTGACGGTGCACGTGTACCAGGCGGCGGTCGACGGACGGCTGCAGGTGGTCTGGACAGCGGCGTACGACCGCCAGGAGGGCGCGGACTTCCAGCGGCAGAGGGTCGAGACGCTGGAGGCGAAGCGGGTGCTGGGTGTCGTGGAGCTCAACAAGGGCGTGCTGAACCACGCGGCGGCGAGCAGACTGGCGCGGGCCGGCTGGCGGCTGGACGAGAGGACCGTTCGGCACGGTGCCTTGGCGGCGGCGGCAGTGGTGCCGGCCGCGCCACGGCTCTCCGACCTCCCTTCGAGCCGCGTCATCGCGCTCGTCGCAGCTTGCCGTCCGCTCGAGGAGCTCGACCTGAAGATCGGCGAGGTCCAGGCGTGGGCGCACGGCGTCCCCCTCTTCGTGGAGATCTTCGATGGGGTCGGGAGGCTCTCGCAGGCGGTCCAGAGCTTAGGAGCAGCTGACGCGGTGTGCAGCGTGGTGGCCGGCATCGACCTCAAGCGCAGGACGTACGGGCAGTATTGGGACCTCAGCAGGGCCAAGGACCGCGCCCGGCTTCGCTACCTGCTCTTCGAGGTGCTGAGGCCGGCAGGAGCCCACTGGGCGCTCCCCTGTGCGAAGTGGAGCAGCCTCGGCGGCCACCAGCCCGACGCCAACGCGCACGCGCTAGCTTCTTTCACCATGGACGGCCTCGAGCACCTCGACGGCGCGGGCTGCCTGGCCTCCTTCGAAGGCCCTCGAGCGCACGCGCTGGTGGCGAGCGTGGAGTGACAGCAACGGTTCGGGTCAGCCGAGGCGCCGCGCGGGCGCTGGCGATACGTGCTCCCCGACGGCTGCATGTTCCACTGCAGGAGCCCGGACGAGGAGCCCTTGGCCATGCAGAAGCCGTACGTCATCGTGGGCAACTTCCCGCTGGACCTGCTGGACGTCCAGTGCCGTCGTGGAGCGCTGCGGCCTCTAGGGCGCGGCCTCGAAGGCGTCGAGGTCGCCTCCGCGGAGCAGGACGGCGACGCCGGGAGCTCCATGATCGGAGCCGCGCGGGCGCTGGAGGGGCCTCGCATGCCCTGCGAGCCTGGGCGCGCGGCCGCTCCGGCTGCTGGAGCGACGAGGTCGGTGGACAAGCTGAGCGACGCCGAGATGGCGGAAAGGAAGGCGCGGCGGGAGCCGGCGGCGGCGGCGGCGAAGAAGAAGTGGGCCGAGCTGGCCAAGAAGGGTGACTGGGATCAGGTGCGGATGCCCGGCAAGTGCTTCAGGTTTGCCGAGGTGAAGGTTTCGCCGAGGCGCTCTGCGGAGTACAAGGCCAAGGTTCTGGAGGCGGTCGGGCTCGTCGGCGAGTGCGCGGGCTACAAGCACCTGGGCAGCCAGGAGCTGGAGGCGCTGAAGGAGATGATCAGCCTGAAGGCCGAGGCGTTCTGGGTGAAGGGCACCGCGCGGACGGTCATGCGCGGCTTCAAGCACGACGTGGTGACGACCGGCTTGCCTGCGCGTGGGCCGCCGATCCGCTTGAAGGGCCCGGAGGCTTCCATCGTCCGCGAGGAGCTCGAGGCGGGCGTGGAGCAGGGGCTGTACTCCAGGGGGACTTCGCCCTGGGGCAGCTGGGCCTTTCCGACCAAGGAGCATGCGAGCGGCCGAAGGCGTCGGACCGTCGTGGACTACCGGATGGTCAACCGCAGGATGGTGATGTTCGTGTACTACATCCGCCGGTGCCGAGACGTCAAGGGCGAGCTGGTGGGCTGCGCCTTCATCTCTGGCATGGACGGCGCTCGCGGCTTCAACCTCCTGGTCAACACTGAGCACGCGAAGGAGGTCCTGGCTGTGCTGGCGGACTGCGGCTGCTACCTCCCCGAGGTGCTGCAGCTGGGGCCAGCGACGGGGCCCTTCGACTTCCAGTTCTGCACCGACGAGCTGTTCACTGGCACCGGCCGCGGGCGCTACGGATCGGTCTGGAAGAATTACATCGACGACTTTTGGGTCAGGACGGGGCAGTGGCTGAACGGTCGCGCCTACACCGACCGAGAGTACGAGGAGATGCTGGCGGCGGCATCCCCCCCCCCCGGCTGCCTCTCGCCCGCTGGGCGACTCGCTGGCAGCGGCCGGGTTCGCGGGGACTCGCAAGGCCAGCCAGAGCTACGACCACGCCAAGGGCGTGCTCGTGGGGCTGTGCGTGGCGCAGTCGGCCACGGGAGCGGCGGCTATGGAGGGCGGCGGCGTTGCCTTGGCGAACGGCCTCCGCATGCTGGTGGTGGCTGCCGCGGTGCGCACGGCGTCCTTGGTGGATGAAGGGCTGCGCGCGGGCGTGCAGCTGACGCAGGACATCTTCGAGGCGGCCGGCGACCTGGTCCAGAGCGTCTCCTGGAACCTCAGCGGGCTCATCCACGAGGTGTGCGAGGGGGCGGTCCTGGTGGCGCGTGTCCTGGTCGTCGTGCAGTGCTGCTACGCTCTCTACTGCCTGCGCTCGTGGGTGGCTTGCCGTTCGCAGCGGGCGGCGCTGGAGCGCGCTGCCACCGCCGGCGAGGCGGCTCAGCGCGGACTCACGTCCAGCGCGCGAGCCTGCGAGGCCGGCGACGGGCCCGCCTTCGGCCGCGAGCCGATGTCCAGGGCGGCAGCCGCTGGGAGGAGCCCGAGCGGGGCCATCCCATCAGCAGATGGCGCCGCCAGCCCTGTGGTGGCGCTGTGGCGCGAGGCGGAGTTCGAGACGCCCCTGCTCGGAGCGGCGGCACGCCCCCGAGCGGAGGTCCTCCAGATCCAGCGGAGCGCGGCTGTGGCGCTGCGGGACCTGGAGCACTCGGACCGCCAGCGCGCCGCGCGCGCGCGCGACCTGGCCGCTTGCGGCGCGGTGGTGTCCGCAAAGCTGGTGGAGGCTGCGCGCAGCTCAGCGGTGAAGGACGCGGGCGACCTGTGCGAGTTCGAGGTTGAGGTGGCCGGCAGCCGCGGCGTGCGGTATGATGTGCGGCTTCGCGCTGGACGCTTGGCTGCAGCGTTGCTCCCCGCATCGTGCACTTGCGCGGACTTCGTCGGCGGCGTTGGCAGCCCCTGCAAGCACATCGGGGCGGCCTGGTGCTGCGCGGTGGACGGCAACTTCAGCGAGCTGGTGGAGCTGGCGCTCGCGGCTGGCCGCAAGGAAGGAGCTACCGCTGGACCTCAGCGACGCGCAGCCCTGGCGCCGAGCGACTCCCTTGGCCTCGCGGGGGCCGTGCGGGAGCTCCGCGACTCGGAGGCCGAGGTCGTTCGCCTGCGCGAGGAGGTCCAGCAGCTGAAGGCGCAGCTGGGGGCGACCTCCAGGCGCGGAGCTGTGACCGAGTTTCTCTCGGCGTCGGAGACGCTGGCGGCTTGGGCGCGGGCCTGCGGCGAGGCCGAGAGCTATGTGTACGTGGCGTGCTTCACCTTCGACCAGCCGGGCGTGGTGAACTACCTGGAGGCGGCTCGAGCTCGAGGCCTCACAGTCCGTTTGGTGTTCAGCGGCCGTGACGAGGCCTTGACCAACAACCAGGGACCGCGCCTGCAGCGGCTCCGAGCCTGTGGGTGCGAGGTGCGCGCTCACAAGGGCTCGCGGCTGCGCGCAAAGGTGATGATGACAGAGCGCGAGATTGTGCTGGGCAGCTGCAACTTCACGACTGCCAGCTTGAGCAACGTGGAGCGCGGAGCGTCGTTGCAGGAGCTGTCCGAGGAGACGGTGCTCGAGCAGAAGGAGTGGTTCGAGCAGCTGTTCGAGGCGGCGGCACCCTTCAAGGACGGGATCGGCGAGGTGGTGCCTCCGTCGCCGGCCCGGCGAGGGCGCCGCGAGGCGCTGGAGGCCGGCTGGGCGAGAGGCCTAGCGGCCGCGGCGCCGAGGCTCGAGGCGCTGGAGGCCATCTGGGCGAGAGGCCTAGCGGCCATGGCGCCGAGGGCGCTGCGGCGCTGGTGGCCAGCTGGGCGAGAGGCCTAGCGGCCGTGGCGCCGAGGGCGAGCAGCGCTGGGGCAGCTAGGGCGAGGCCCAGCAGCCGTGGCGCCGAGATGGCAGGGGCGTGGCATTTTGCTACGCCGTCGACGCCCGGCAGCGCCGGGAGCTATGAGCGACTGCATGGCGCCGAGTTCGGCGACTTCGAGGAATTCATCGACTTCAATTTTGTGGAGCTGCACGTCGCGGTGGACGTGCCGGGGCGCCTGTGCCGCGGAGTGGTGTCCCGCTCGAGGAGAGGGGCACGTGAGGAGCGGCAAGGGCGCACAGGCGGCGGAGTGCGGGCCCGCGGTGACGACGGCCCCGGTGGCGACGGCTGCTTGCCCCGCGCTGCCGCGTGGCTCAAGAGGAGAAAGGGGCCCCTCCTCCCCCTCCTCAGAGGCGCGGGGGAGGCTTGGGGGGCCCGCCTGGGTTCGAGGGCCCGCAGGGGCCCATAGGGCCCGGGGGCGGCACCAGGAGGCCGCTCCCGAGGCCCTGAGGGGCCGAGGCTCCAGGTGAGCCTCATACTACTACTACTACTACTACTACTACTACTACTACTACTACTACTACTACTACTACTACTACTACTACTACTACTACGACTACGATCACTACTAGTAGCTACTACTACGTGCAGCTACTACTACTACTACTACTACTACTACTACTACTACTACCGCTAGAAGCTACTATACTCAGGTACTACTACTACCAGGTACTACTGCTACCAGGTACTACTACTACCATGCAACAGGTACTACTTCTATGACTGCTACTACTACTACTACTACTACTACTACTACTACTACTACTACTACTACTACTACTACTACTACTACTACTACTACTACTACTACTACTACTACTACTACTACTACTACTACTACTACTACTACTACTACTACTACTACTACTACTACTACTACTACTACTACTACTACTACTACTACTACTACTACTACTACTACTACTACTACTACTACTACTACTACTACTACTACTACTACTACTACTACTACTACTACTACTACTACTACTACTACTACTACTACTACTACTACTACTACTACTACTACTACTACTACTACTACTACTACGACGACTACTACTACTACTACTACTACTACTACTACTACTACTACTACTACTACTTCTACTACTACTACTACCTACTACTACTACTACTACTACTACTACTACTACTACTACTACTACTACTACTACTACTACTACTACTACTACTACTACTACTACTACTACTACTACTACTACTACTACTACTACTACTACTACTACTACGACTACTACTACTACGACTACTACGACGACTACCACTACTACTACTACTGCTTCTGCTGCTGATGATGCTGCATCTGCTACTACTACTACTACTACTACTGCTACTACGACTACTACGACTACTACTACTACTACTACTACTACTACTACTACTACTACTACTACTACTACTACTACTACTACTACTACTACTACTACTACTACTACTACTACTACTACTACTACTACTACTACTACTACTACTACTACTACTACTACTACTACTACTACTACTACTACTACTACTACTACTACTACTACTACTACTACTACTACTACTACTACTACTACTACGATTACGATTACGACTACTATTATTACTCCTACTACTACTATTACCACGTGCTACTAGGCGAGGCAACTCCTATTATTACTACTATTACCAGTACTATTATTATTCCTACTACTACTACTATTACCACGTGCTACTAGTATTACTACTACTATTACTCCTACTACTACGACAACTACTACCACGAGGCTCGCGCACCTGGTGGCGAGGGGCGGCTCCAAGGACCCCGGCCTCTCCACCTGGGGCCTCGAGACCTTCGCCGAGCACAGGGCCAGCACGAGCGCGGTCGTCGTCGACGCCGCCGCGCCCTGGCTCAAGCTCTAACCCCTGCCCTACCTCCCGGGGTGGGGGTTGGGGCGGCGGGGGGCGCTGCAGGGCGCGGGGAGGGGGGGGGGGCAGAGGGGTTCCAGGGAGGCGTTCCCGAAGGCGGGGGGGGGGGCGGCGGGGCGGACCTTGCGCGAATGCTGGCACACTTGAATCAACAGGCCGTCGGTCACACGCTGAAGTTGCGATTCGCGGCGGTCCGCATCTCGGGACCATTGGCTGCCAGAACCTCTGGGGATAGCTCCAGCTGCCATCGCACCGAGTGCATTCGCTGCCTGATCTGTCGTTGGGCGTCCTGCGGTCACTCGCTGGAAAAGGTCCGGGCCCAGGGCGAATATTCGGACGACGCCCGATGTCCGGAAATCCACGCGGCCGCGTGGGTCAGGCCCCCGGAGACCAGGACACAGATAAACGAGGACACGGAAAACCAAGGAAACGACGTCATTTCCTGCAAAGTCAGGTTTTTCAGCACCCGTGCATGTTTTGTTTGCTGCACTGCAGGGTTCGGGTTCGTGTCCGGGTTTAGGGGTGTCTTGCAGGCTTTTGGGGCTTGTGTCCGGGTTTATTTTGGAAGTGCTGCAGTGCAGTATTTTGTTCGTGCCGCGAGTTTCGAGGTATGTTGGGTGTCCGGGTCTAGCGTGTCTGGGTCTGCGGGGCTTCGAGTGGGTCTCTGCTCGCCAGAGCGGGCCGCCACTTGTGTATCCTAAGTCTCTCGTTTTTTTTCTTCCCCCTTGCGCGCCAGACAACTCGCCTTTCGGTTGTCCCGAATAGCTACACGCTGGAGCGGACTGCCTCTGCCTCGCCGCCGACGGAATGAAGTGTTTCCTAAGTTTCGATACGAGCACAAGATAAGAAAGGGCCCAAGGCCCCAGGGCGATTGCGTGGCAGGCCCAGGCAGCAAACGCGCAATTGCATCGCGCGGTGCAAGAGCAGGCCAAGTCAAGACCGAAATCATGATGCCCATGGCGCCCAGGAGGGCGTAGTCCTGGGGTGCACCGCGGTCGTGCTCACGTGGGCTTGAAGTCGAAGCCGCGTGAGGAGGAGGGAGAGGAGGTGGAGAATGAAGAGGACAAAGTTAGGTGAAGTTAGATGAGGTGGGAGAGTAGGAATGGAGATGGTGGCGGGAGCGTGTGTGTGTGTGGGGGGGGGGGGGGAGAAAGGGTGTAGGACAAGGAGGAGGGAGGAAAAAGACCAGTAGTTGGGGCAACAGGATCAAGCGGAGGAGGAGGAGGTGAAGACGGAGGAAATGCAAGAAGAGGAGAAGAGAAGGAGCAACGGGGGAGGGAGCAGGAGGAGGTTCAACTGCAGTGGAGCTCTTCAGAAAGACCCGGGGACGTATCTGAAACGTGTCGCAGCGCCGACGCAGGTTCGACTTCTTTGAGCCTCCTCCGCCCCCTTTCTTCCTGATTATTATCCTGCTCATTATTGTTGCACTCCCTCCTCCCACTTCGATGTCGTCTTTGTGCGATTCCATGGAAGACGGATCCCGATTTGAGGTCGACTTGCAATCCACGGAAATCCGTCCATGACTCCCACAAGGATATGTATTTGCCGTGGGTGTGTTGGTCACACTGTGTTGCGGCCTATGAGTTGTGTATTTGGTTGTTTGTTTGTTTGTGTTTCCTACTTCCGTCGCAACTTTTGCTCATTTTTGGGAGGCCTCTGCCGACACAACCCAGGGAGTGGCAATGGGCTCATGGGAGTGGTTATGGGCTCATGGTCTCTTTTTTTTGCGGCTGTTGGTCACTGTGCAGGTCGTGGTGATCACCACTGTTTTTGTCTTGCTCCGATCCTACAACCCAACGCAGGAGAAGCGCTACCATGAGGGGCAGGATGTGTTGGGGAGGAAAGACAGGGGCCCTTTCGAGCTCTCCGCCTGTCGAGCCGATTCCAATCACAGTGCGCCGTCGTGCGACAATCCTTTCGAGAACACCACCTGGCACCTGACGCTTTACGAGAGGCTGAAGCTCGCGATTATGTCGGCGACTGTGCTGCCGCTTCGCGTACTCGGCCTCGTGAGCGCAACCCTCTCCATTTGGCTGCTGCTCGCAGTGTTGGTGAAGCTCCGCCTGTTTGTCCAGCTGCGCTGCCGCGCGATTCCGCCAGCCAGTGGGGGGAAAGGGCCCTCCCGTGGAGGGAGGGGCCGCGAGACCCGGCTACCCCGCCTTCGGCTCTGCGGGCGAGGTGCTGCCCAGAGGGGGGCAAGGAGCGCGTGGACCTGGGCAGACGAGGGAGCTGCTCTCGGGCCCGAGGAGCCGGGGCGCCTGGCCTGTCGGGGACGTTGCGAAGGCAGCTTCGCAGCTTCTCGGTGACCGTTCTGGGACCGCTGCGGGGGGCCTCCTCGGGGCTGCTCTGTGGCCCTCTTCAAGCCTCGTTGGGGCCTCCTGGGTGCCTCTTGGGGGCCTCCTGGGGCCTCCTGGGGGCTCCTCGGGGCCTCCTGGGGGCACTCTTCGAGCGGCGCCGCTGCCTCGCGAGAGGCGACCCCGCTGTGAGCCGAGGGGGCGGCCCGCCGCACGCGGGCCGCTGCGAGGCGCGGCGGAGCACCGCCGCCCGCCCGAAGGCGAGCCCGGCCGCCGTGCCGGAGCAGCACCCGAGGTGCGGGCCTCTCCCAGGCAGCCTCGGTCGAGGCCAGGCCTTCCCTCCTCCTCCTCCCTCCTCCTCCTCCTCCTCCTCCTCCTCCTCCTCCTCCTCCTCCTCCTCCTCCTCCTCCTCCTCCTCCTCCTCCTCCTCCTCCTCCTCCTCCTCCTCCTCCTCTCCCAGGAGTGGAAAAAAACACAGACACAATCAATCGTCGATTCCCCGGGAAAATATGGGAAACTATGGGAAGTGGGGGGGGGGAGGACAGAAACCCCGAAAATACGGGGAATGTGTTTATTTGTGTGAATTCATTTGTGTGTTCTGGGGCCCCTTTATCCCTTTGTGTGTCCCAGGGCCCCTTCACTCTCCCAGGAAGCCTCGGTCGAAGCCAGACCAAGAGGTTCGGCAGGCACAGCCATCCTTGGCGCCGTTTGTCAAGCAGTGGCGAGGCGTCCTAGCTCGCCCAGAGGCCTACCAGAGAACGTTCCGAGAACTTGTTATGTGGTCTGCACGAAGTGTTCTTAGAACAGTTCTGGCTGGGACTGTGTTGTTTGAACACATCGGGCATATTTTCTAAGAACATGTGCTTTTGTTCTTAGAGCTTTTTGGAGCTCTAAGAACATTTCGTGGCAGGACTAGGAATGCCCGAACGGTCGGTCCCTGCTCAAGCCTGGGAGGCACCGGTGCGACGTTGCAGCGTGTCTCGGCCGTGTGGTTGCCCAGGTGGTCGCGTTGCCTCTTGAGGGACACGATGGGGGGGTTCTCGGGGGAGCTTGTCTGGTGCCTCTCGGGAGCCTTTGGCGAGCTTCTGGATTTTTCTCCTCAGGGAGAGCTCAAACAACCTGCTGGGTGAGGAAAACTCTGCAACGGCAAGTTGATCATGTCACGGAATACCTCTTGGAGGTAGCGAGCATGTCAAACGGTCAGAAGGAACAGAAGTATGCTTGAGGTGATCCAGACGGCCCTCGCATCTACAAAGGAGGGATGAGGACGGAGGAAATACAAGAATGGGGAGAGGAGGGAAGTCTAGAAAGATGTGTGCAATGATGCGATTCTGGGGGGCATCCTCCGGAGAAAGAGGAGAGAACTTCACTTGGGCGTTTCCTAATGGGGGGGTCATAAATGGGGGTGTGGCGAGGGTGGCCCGAAAAGGTACCCATACGGTACTTAAACGAGCCCCCTGAGGCTCCGGAGGGGCCCGAAAGGGGCACGAAAGGGGACCGTTTTTGACCCCCCCATTTATGACCCCCCCATTAAGCCACGCCCAATTCACCAGCACCACTTGGCGGAGCTCCGCGCGGACCTCTCGGATCGGCGCTATAGGGCCCCTCCTTGGCGCCGCCTCGGGCGCCGCCTTGGGGGCGCCGGGGCGGGGGCCCAGCGCCGATCTAAGAGACGAGGCGCGGCGCTCCAGAAGTTTTTACAGTCGGGGAGGCGCTGCAGAAGGAGCCCTCTTCGCTGGGGAGGGGCTCGGTGTTCCTTGATTGTTTCACAGTTTGCCTCGGGTTGTCCTGAGGTTTTCCATGGGAAATGGAGGTTGAACTTATGGGAAAGGGTTCCTTATAGTCCTGATTTAGGGTTCCTTAGGTCAACGCCCCGACTGTATCACCCGTGCTGGGTGGCACCCCTGGTGTCTGCCAGGGGAGCTCTCTCGGGGCCCGCCCCGCGCGCGCAGGGCCCGCCGAGCTCCTCCGCGCAAGGGACCCCGGTGGAGCCCATGGCGTGGCCGTCGGGGCGGGTCCCGAAGGGGTCGCGCTGGAACCCGCGTCCGGGCGCCGCCGTGTCGCAGAGAGGAGACTCGAGCATACTCCGGATTTCAAAATAGAAGTGGGGGGGGGTCACATTTGGGGGGGGGGTCTCATTTGACCCGTCTTGAAGGATTCGGGGGGGTCTGGGCAAAGGGCCGCCCTTGCATGGATGGTCTGGGGGGGTCTAAAACTTCTGGTCTGGGAGGGTTGCGACCCCCTCCCTTTTATCACGAAAACTGGAGTACAGTTGTGGACGACGATCAATGGAAAGGAAGCGTGTAGCCAAAATAATTTCCAGATGTCCAGAACATGTGTAAAGCATGTCTTAAGCGTGTGAAAGACATGATTAAACATGTTGAGGGCATGTTTCAAACATTGGTAGCACACCTTTAATTCAATGATCGGATTGTTAGGGTGTCCATTGTCATGGCATCCACAAGCATACAGTGGCGGGGACACGTAAGACTCGAGAAAGCCGGAGGACATGCCCGCCCAAGATTGTGGGCCTCCCTGAGGCCGCCTCGGGTATCGGCGGGGGGCCGGCCGAGACGGCGGCAGCTCGTCGGCCGCCGGGGGGACCCGCCGTCGCCACGGCCGGACGCTGCTCGGAGCACTGCGCGGGGACCCCGGGAGGGGTCTGGGACCGGCTCTGCGCGACTGCGAACCATTGCAAAACCCAGACCCCCCTCGGGTCATGGAGAAAGCACGACGGGAGGCGTTGCGCTCTCCTCAGCTTCCGAGGGGGGGGGCCCTCGCCAGGCCTCGGGGCCGTCCATCGGGGGCCCCCCAACGGGGTGGTGACCACACCGTGCTGTGAGTCGGTGGGGATTCGGGGTCACCGCACGGTTTCGGGACTCGGGTCGTTCTCCGAGGACGTCTCGGGCGACAGGGGCCTCCGGGGTCCCAAGACCGTGCGGTGACGGACCGTGCGGCGAGGTCTTGGTGGGGTTCGAGGTCACCGCACGGTCTGTCATGTCACTGCACCGTTCCGGGACCCCAGAGTCCAAAACTCGACCCGGAGTGAGAAGCCGGTCCCGGGGAAGGGGTCCAGACCTTTGGGGTCGACCTCACTCGGGGGTGGACAGAACCCCCAACAGTGACACGTCGATTAACCCCATGCTCACGATAATAAACACTAGGGGATAATAAAGTTCGGGGTTCAGGGGGAGATAATCAAAGTAGCCCACCAGACCTCAGCATAATCTCGAAGTAAGAGATGATCAAGAGGAGACCAAACCGAGCACGTTTTGAGACATCCTTGGCGTTTAGTCTTCATTAAAATATCCTCAACAATGGCTTATCTCGCTGGAGACATCCTCGACAAATCCCTTGTTTCGCTTGAGACATCCACAAACTATTGCTTATGTCGCTTGAGACACCGTCAAACTATTGCTGATTTCGCTTGAGACATCCTCGAAATAATTGTGTTTTTCGCTTGACACATCATCAAACTATTGCTGATTTCGCCTGAACATCCTGAAACTATTGCGTATTTCGCTTGAGACATCCTGAAACTATTGCTTATTTCGCTTGAGACACCGTCAAACTATTGCTTATTTCGCTTGAGACATCCTCGAAATACTTGTGTTTTTTATTCTCGAAGGTCTCATTGTCTGGTTCTGCTCTCTGAGCAGCCATCTGCTTGAGCAGCTCTGCTTCAGCAGCTCACCTTGAGCAGAGAGAGATAGTGAGAGAAAGAGGAGAGAGGGAGGGAGAGAGAGAGAGAGAGGTGAGACTCTCTCTCTCTCTCTCTCCCGCCGTGCGCTCCTCTGAGGTTTATTATCGTCGGCAGTTTTTTTTATCATCGGCTGAGGTTTATTATCGTCGGCAGTTTTCTATCATCGGCAGTGGTCAATCGCAACTCCTGAGCTCTCCCGGAAGACGGCGGCACGCAAATGATACGCATTTTTTGAAAAAAATCATTTTGAAAAAAACAACTTTTTCAAATTGCGACTTCCTTTGTGATCCTTTCAGAACTGCGAAATCGAGCCGTCAGGCGCTTGAATGCCACATTGCGTTCGAGATTTAAGCACGCGACGCATTTATGAGAAATTTGCGTCGCACGCGCTTTTGCCCGAATATCGAACGCAGTGTGGCATTCAGGCGCGTGCGGGTTCGAATTCGCAATTTCGAAAGGATTTCAATGGAATTCGCAACCAAATATAATATTTGTTTGTCAAAATAAGGTTTTTCAAAAAAAATGTGTGTCATGAGAAAATTGCGTCGCGCACGCTTTCGCCTAAATCTCGAACGCAGTGCGGCATACAAGCGCCTGACGGCTCGATTTCGCAAATTCGAAAAGATTTCAATGGAATTCGCAATTAAATAAAATCTTTTTTTCAAAATGAAGGTTTTCAAAAACATGCGTATCATTTGCGTGCCGCCGTGTTCCCGGAGAGCTCAGGAGTTGCTATCGACCATTGCCGATGATAAAAAATTGCCGACGATAATAAACCTCGAGAGGTTGTGCTGAGGGGTTGTGCTGCATGGTTGTGCTGGAGGGTTGTGCTGGAGGGTTGCGCTGGAGGGTTGTGCTTGAGGGTTGTGCTGGAGGGTTGTGCTGGGGGGGTTGTGCTGAGAGAGAGAGAGAGAGAGAGAAGGACAAACAAAGAAGATAACAAATATATTAAACAAACAAAAATAAGAAATATATAACACATTTCGCAGGAAAATAAAAAAACTTATAATAAAGAAGAAGAATAATAATAAGAAGAATAAGAAGAAGAGAATCTATATAGAAAGAGAGACAGATAGAGGAGGAGGAGGAAAAGCAAAAATTTCAAGTTTCAAATCCATCAGATTTTAGTTAGAAACGCTTTATGAAAATTGAGAAAGAGAGAGAGAGAGAGGAAGAGGAGATAATGAAAAGCAAGAGAGGAAGGAGAGGAGGAGAGGAAAGGAGAAGACAGGAGAGGAGCAAGAGGAGAGAGAGATAGAGAAACAGAGAGAGAGAGAGAGAGAAAAAAGACAGAGAGGAAATAATAAAAAAATACCTATCAGATTTTCCATGGAGAATCAACCCCAGGGATAAACAAGTTCAGGGGGGCATGGGGGGAGAGAGACAGAGGGATAGAAAAAAAAAGAGAGAGAAGAAAGAATGAAAATGAAGAGGAGAAGAAAAATTCAAGAGGAGAAGTAGAAGAGGAGAGGAAGAGGACAAGCAAACATTTCAAGTTCCAAATCTATTTTATTTAATGTACAAACGCTTTATGATTTTATGTTTTTTTGGTTTGTTTTTTTTTGTGCTCGTGTAGGAGCTCATGTGCCTCATTTTCCGTGGATAATCAACCCCAGGGATAAACAAGTTCAGGGGCGCATGGGGAGAGAGAAATATATAAAGAGAGAAATAAAGAAAACAAAGAGAGAGTTGAGGGAAATACATAAAAGAAATATTAAAAAGGAAAAGGACAAGAAGAAATGAGGAGGAGAAGTAGAAGAGGAGAGGAAAGGAGGATAAAACAAAAGATCTGAAGATTCAAATGTATTAAGTTTTTATTTACAAGTGCTTTATGACAATTAAAATTTTTAAGTGCTCGTGTAGGGTAGCTCATGTGCCTCACTTCCCGTGGATAATCAACCCCAGGGATAAACAAGTTCAGGGGGGCATGGGGAGAGAGAGGAAAAAAGAAAGAAATAAAGAAATATATAAAGAAATAAAGATATAAAGTAAGAAAAAAGAAGGAGAAGAGAAGAGGAAGAAAAAGAGCAACAATTTCAAGGTCCAAATCTATTATATTTAACTTGCAAACGCTTTCTGACAATTGTTTTTTTTGAGTGCTCGTGTAGGGTAGCTCATGTGCCTCACTTGCCATGGATAATCAACACCAGGGATAAACAAGTTCAGGGGGGCATGGGGAGAGAGAGGAAAAAAATAAAGAAATAAAGAAATCTATGAAGACATAAAAATATAAATTAAGAAAAAAGAAGGAGAAGAGAAGAGGAAGAAAAAGAGCAATCCTCGAGTATATGCTTGTTTCGCTTGAGACATCCTCGACAAGCTTCTCGAATCGCTTGAGACATCCTCGCAGAATTGCTGGTTTCGCTTGAGACATCCTTGAAACATTGCTCGTTTCGTTTGAGCCTGCCTCCCAAAATTCTTGGTTTCGCTTGAGACATCCTCACAGCATTGTTGTTTTCGCTTGAGACATCCTTCAGGAACGTATCGTTTCGCTTGAGACATCCTTCAGTATATGCTTGTTTCGCTTGAGACATCCTCGACAAGCTTCTCGAATCGCTCGAGACATCCTCGAGTATATGCTTGTTTCGCTTGAGACATCCTCGACAAGCTTCTCGAATCGCTTGAGACATCCTCACAGAATTACTGGTTTCGCTTGAGACATCCTTGAAACATTGCTCGTTTCGTTTGAGCCTGCCTCCCAAAATTCTTGGTTTCGCTTGAGACATCCTGAAAAAAGTGTGATCGCTTCGCTTGATGTTGCTATTTCAACATAACTTGATCTTGCTATCTCAACATAACGTTCCGAGGTGATAATGAAGTTTGGCCTCCGCGCCCCGCGCCCCCGACCAAACTCTTATTGGTCGACGATAAAAAACCCTAACGACTTAAGGGGGGGGGTACATTATTATCGTGGGCATGGGGTTAGTGAATTGTCCGTTTTCGGTTCTCGAGAGGGCGCCGTGGCCGTTATTTTCCAGGCCTGCGCCCGCCAGGTTTGGGCCTCAGGTCGTTTTCACTAAACCACGTTTTACTAAAGGGGGGTCTGTCCATCCCCGACTCACGAAGCATGCACGACGTCGGGGATCCCAACCCCGCTGGCCCAGATCGCCCTGTAGGCTCCGAGGCGCCGAGCGCTTCCCGAGGCCGCCGTTGGCCACCGGAAGCACACGGGGAGGCGCGTCGGACGTCTCTGTGCTTGTGGCCGCCCAGAAGCGAGCTGGCAAGGTACCTAGACTCGGAGGTGGACAGAACCCCCAACAGTGACACGTCGATTAGTGAATTGTCCGTTCTCGGTTCTCGAGAGAGCGCCGTGGCCGTTATTTTCCAGGCTTGCGCCCGCCAGGTTTGGGCCTCAGGTCGTTTTCACTAAACCACGTTTTGCTAAAGGGAGGTCTGTCCATCCCCGATGCTCCTGTCTTCGGCGGCGGCAAAGAGGGGGGTGGTGACTACGGGGGGGGGGGATATCATGGCTGTGGCCACGATATTTTCCCAGATCTCGTGGCGCCTCTTCTTATTTCAATGCGTTCCCTGGCCCCCCCCCCCTGGGCCGCGCACGTGCCGCCAGCCATGATTTGCCCGCCCCCCTCTTGGACACTCCCCTCTTGGCCGCCCCAGGTGTCTGGGCCTCCCAAGTGGGGTCGGAGTAGATGGGGTCGGAGGATCGGGCCGAACGAAAAGGGGGGGGGATAGGGAAAGGGGGGGGTACGAAATCTGCCGCATGCAGCTGGTTTCGGCCCCGCCGCCGGGCCCATGCCTCGATACATGGGCGCCTCTCGGCGCCGGGAGGCGCCGGGAAAATCAGCTACTTGAGCTGATTCTCTACCCTACCCTTTGCTATCCCCCCCTTTCGTTCCCCCCGAGAGGATCGCGCCGCATCGCCGATGCGTCGGCGATGCGGCTCGATGTGGAGCCCGACCTTCTCCACGCCGATGTCGCCGATGCATCGGCGGTGCGGCCGCATCCTCCGACCCCATCTGCTCGGACCCCATCTGGAAGGCCTCTATCCTGGGGGCTGGCTTGGAGTCCCCCGAGGCCTCTTGGGAGCATCCTGGCGCCTCCGAGGACGTCGGCGAGCAGCCCCCGGGGCTTGTCTTGAAGCGT